CTCGGTATTGGGTATATTCACGTTTTCCCCAATTTCGATATGATAACAAAGTTGAAAGCTTAAAACTTTGCATATTCCTAAGACGGAGATTAGAATTTGGTTAATGGTTACCTGTTGATTTACGGGGTGAATTTCACCCTCAAAGGGGTTTTAAACACACTCACTGGTGTGTGTGTGTGTGTGTTGATCGGATGGTTAAAACCTCTATAGGGGCAGTGCCCATGGCCATGGGTAGGGTCGAATTTTGCCGATTTATGGCAGATATTGAAATATGTAAAGATAGAGATGGTGGTTTTAGAACTTGCATCAAATTGAGCTTGTTCTTTTGTTTGATAAACATTCTTCTTTATGGTCTCGTTTTATTAAAAATAAATTTCGTTTGATAGTAAAATCATAAAGCATGTTTCGTTTGGATGACTCAAAAGCAAACACGTTAGTGAAAATTTGCCTGCTTTATTGTTTGTTTTTGCCATGAGGTATGGTTCACCTTGCAAGTTCAGAAAGAAGAAGAAAAAACTGTACTAACCTCAAGTTAATCATTTGATGTTTTCGTATAGTTCATTTCTGGGCACCAACTTTTAAGTGGGGCATTAGCATTGCTAATCTTGCCGATTCCACTAAACCCCCCGAGAAAGTTTCATATCCCCAGCAGATAGGTACGTGTTAAATTTGAGTTTGTAGATGTTCATATGAACCTAACAAGTTCATATTTCTTTTTTGTTTTGATTCATTATCAGCTGGGACCAGATTCTGTTTGTTTATGGCATTGGTTTGCTTATATATAGCTATATTTTTTTTTTTTTCCTTTTCTTTTCTTGTATGCAGCTGTTACAGCAACTGGAGTAATTTGGTCCCGTTATAGCACTGTTATTACTCCTGTAAGATCAATTTTCTATTTTCTATTTAATTTGTGAAGATCGTCATTGGATTCTTTTTTTCTTGTCCTCTTTTGGCTATGTGTTGATTGGTCCGTGAATTTCTTTAATACATTGGTCTCGGTGAACTTGAACCCTCCAGTTTGCATCTTCTCTTGATGATTTGGGAAAAGAAAGTAATTAAATGTATGAATATTCGCTTTTAGTTCTTTCAGTTTTCGTGCAATGTGCATAAAATTCATTTGGGAGGAAAGCTTCATACCAGTTATCGTATCTCATTTTTTAGCTCTTTGTATTAGATTTTTTTGGTTATTTACTGAAAACAACTTTCGACATTAGCCTAAATCGCTAAAAGACCCAATTTTATGTGTTTTTCGAACCTCTGGTTGGTATTGGTGGAGTACATACAAACACCTCAAGCGGGCGTTAGTGTAACAATTATGAGGGGGTATTTGTGATTTTGAAAGATAATTAGATTGTTTTCGGCTATGTTTGGAAACCAAATAAGCTAGTTTATAGCTTGTTTGGTTAGTTTATAAGCTTCCTGTGTTCAAATAAGCTTCGCTCATAAGCTTCTTTGGGTAGCTTTTCAAATAAGCTCGTTGAATTTTTTATTTCAGCTAGTTTATCAGCTTATTTTACCAAACACTTTATCATATAAGTTAGTTTTTCAGCTATAAGTCATGAGCTATAAACTCGAAAATCATTTATAAGCTATAAGCTAGCTTATCAGATATCAGCTAGTTTACCAAACATAGCTCGAGTCTTGTGTGGCTGTCTTTTATTATTTATTCCCTTTTTTCTGGTTTTACGAAGCTGTACCTTGTAAAACAATCCTCCCATTCAATCTTCGAAAAATAATGTTTGATGATGGGCTTGCAGAAAAACTGGAATCTCTTTAGTGTAAACATTGTGATGGCTGGCACAGGCATTTACCAGCTTGCACGTAAAATCCGGTTAGTCACTAAAATAATTAGTTTTCCTTCAATGGATAATGTCGTCTTTGTAGCATGAGACACTCTGTATATATTAAGTTTTCAATGTGATTACAGGCACGATTATTTCAATGAGGAGCAAGCTGTTGAAGCCAAAGAATGATTATAGCACATATTTTCTCTCTTTTTCTTCCGCCTTTTTTGCTTTTTCCCCTTTCATTTTTCTCGTTTTTCCTGTATAATAGTTTCGGCGTATGCATTGAATATAATTTCTCGGACGATCAAAAAAATATAATTTCGAAATCTGTTCAACATTTGGCAGATTCCTCACAGCAATGTGAAAATGTTCATAAATTGTATTATAAAAATTTCTCTTCTTCTTTATCATAGTTATGTTATTGTTCCTGCTGTCTATCCTATCTCTTATGCTTATTGTTGGAGTATTTAATCTGTAATCACTTGACTTGGTATTTTACTATGAACATATGTCTAAACATTTTGTGTAAAAGACAGTTTTGAGATCACGAGAACGAGAATATTAAATATGATCCAAAGTCTTGATGTGGCCATGTCTTAAACCAAATAAAGAAGAAAATTACTTCAAAAAAAAGGGGGGAAAACACAATATGAATACAGAATTTTGTGCTGGTACATAATAAATCGGATTACAACAATATCAGCCTTCACTGTGCAAGAACACAGTTATTTCATCAACCAGTGGCCAAGAGATTGAACCACACAAATTGCTGTCACTAGAATAATACAGTTCGTTACTGAAGCTAAAAATTACGGCCATTGTAAACCATTTGAATTTTCCCCTGCTCTTTTGTTCCATCAAGCAACTAATATATATCCATAATGTAAACTGCCTTTCAATTTAGATCTGCTTTCGAGTCAGAATCATCTTCTTCGCCATCTTGATCGTTGAAACCCAAACTCAAGTCCAGTGTGCTCACATTCAAATCTTGTCGTTCCACGTGATTTTTCTTCATACCCTGAATGCAAATAGTTGAATTAAAAAGAATCGCAAGCCTTTTTTATCTTCTCAATATGATAAAACTAAAATATATGCTACGGCTTGTATATGTAAGGAGCTTATAGAGCCTGATGAAAAATAAGAGCAAAAATGAGGAAAAAATGTGCATAAGGCATAATTTCACCTGGTTTTCCTCCTCTGGGACATCATTAATGTCAGGCTTTTGATCGTGTTTATGGTTCTTTGAAGTCGTCTCCATATTTTTTATGTTGTAGTCAACGGACTTTGTTTCATCATCTTCCATATGTTCTGAGGGTTCTTCGTTTAATTCGTCGAGCACATCAATCTACATAATCATCCCAGTAAAAAAGAAAAAAATAAATAAAAATTAGTAACTCATCACTCATCAAGCATTTCCAGAACGCAACTTGTCAAACATTTATATAATAAGTATAATAAATTGACATGGTTAACTGCATTAAACGAAATAGCAATGGTGTTGGATGCAAAATTTGAAAATTAGTATGTAGAAAACATACCACATTGTTCTTTGCAAAATGAAAATGACAAACAAAAGAAAAAAACAAATTTCATGAATCTAGAGGCTTTCATAAGCAAAATGTGACGAAACAAAATTTCCATCATCTCTACACTACCAATATTAGTTATGAAAATAATTATGAAAAATCAATTAGTGAAAGTTAGCACCATCAGTCACACATAACCAAGAACTTCACTAGTAAAAGAAGTTAAAGAACCTATCTCCCAGCACGCACAAGGACAAAGGATGAGAATACTGCAGAATGAGAAAATGAGAGATCAAATAATAGGCATATAATGGTCCCTCTAAATGCAGCCAATTCCTATAGCTGGGCACCATAGACTTTGAAACCGGGTACTCCAAATTCTTATTTCTACGCCATTAACACTCAGCTATAGAACTTACAAGTTGGCCATCAGAAATTGGTCAAAAAATGATATTTTCAATATTTCAATGGCGTGCTATCCTGTCTCATAAACATTCTTCTCCCTGTAAGGGTCCACTCAAACAGTAATAATCACGAACGGATACACAAACGATCACGGTTTTAATCTAGCCAGCTGTTTGCTTCTCAAAAGAGTGAAGGACCAGATAGAGTCTTTATTCGAGCAAACTCATAGAAGAAATTATGCGTTTCTCTCTGTGAGTATATGTGAAGAATAAGAAAAAGGAAAGGCGGAAAACTAATCAAAGAAGATTAATAAATAAAGGGAGATTTCCCCACAAATCAGCTAAATAACCTACAAAAAAAGGAAGAAACCCTAAACAACCAAAAAAAAATCCCTGCTCATAATCAGAATCAACAATAACGATGACAATTACGGTCAGAGAATTCAAGATAGCCACAATTTCCGCACATAAACAAATAAACAAAAGAAACCCTAAACACCAGCTGAAAACCTAAAAAAATAAAATCGAAATTACCAAATCCTAATCAAGTCAATATCGAGTAAAATTACCGGAATATACTTGAATTTCTTCCTCGGAGTCTCTTCAGCTGCGACGACGTCGTCCTTGCCGGATTCAGAATTATCGTGGCCATGGCTTCCGTCCTTAGCTTGATTGGAGGCTACGGGAGTCCACTTAAGGAGCAAGAGATTGGATCCGTTGTTACCTCCGTTGGTCGCCGTGGTGCGGCTGGAATTGGGCAGCGGCACGTGAACCCACCTCTTCTTCCAGCGGCGGACTGGGCCGGTGAATACGGTGGTGGGGCCGTAGCGGGTCGAGGATCGGCCGAGTCTCGCCCCAACTCCCTCCATTGTAAGGGGTAGAGCGACGGCTGCGAAAGATTCCGGCGGCCGGCTGGCAGGATTTAGAAGGGCTGCTGTGTATAGCTGCGTATGTGCGTGTATTTGTCTCGCTCTCAATTGGTGAGTTACTATTACTATTTTCTTTTTCTTTGTCCTATAGACTTTTGTATTTTTTTTTTAATATAATAAAAAACTATATGTTTTATGTGTGTATATAATAATTAAAATAACAAGTTAGATAAATTGCATATCGCGTTACATTATTTAACTTACGTATTAAATTTTATATTGATTTTAATCCTAGTTTTAAAACTGGAATTGATAATTGAGTATGGATGGACTTTGGGTCAACGGTCCAACTACCGTGTCACTGGGTCAATTACTGAACCGAGTAATTATTTTTATAAAATTTTAAATTATATTTTTATTATTTTTACCTTATGACAATACTTAAAATAATAGAAATAAATTGCTTATATGTAAATTTTATATTTTAAATCTTAATAATATTGTATTTTGTTATCGCATAAATATACACATATATAATTTTATTTTCAAAAATAAAAAGAAATTATAAAGGGTCCATAACTAGGTCAACCGAGTTTGACTGGATCTCTTGCTACTCGGTCCAAACAACCCACTCGGATCAATCCAGATCCCAAGTCGACCCGCTCCAATCCAGATCTCAAAACACTAATTTCAATAATATAATTTTGCTATATTGTTTGGTCATAGAGAAAACAATACTAACATTAATTAATGTATATAAAATTTTAAGGGATTTGATTATAATATAAGAAGTAATTAACTAATTTTTCTTAATCAGCTGAAAATAAATTGTATTTTAAATAAATAGTTAAAAAAGTTATAATACATAATATTAATGTATGATTTATAGGTAGTAGCTATTATATAATAAATTAAATAAAATATTAATTAATTGATGAATGTAAAATATCACAAAAAAGAGTTGAAAGCGAAAATAATTGCTAACTCATCTTCCAAAAATTAAATAAAAGATTTATAATGCATAGTAAATTAGAAATAAATTAAATAAAAGAAACAATCTTTAGTTAATTTGACTACAGAAATAAACTAAAAAACAATTTTGATAATCTAACGGTTCAGATTTATTGGGTTTGAGATAAAAGGCAGAAAATTGGAATCATTTATTTATATAAAAAAAAAAAAAATCTGTGGAAAAAAATAAAAAAAAAAATAAAACATGGACAAAAGTAAAACAGACGGATTCTGAAAATCCGTTTTTCCCTAAAAAACGGATTTTCAGAATTCGTTTTTTGTTAATCCCGAAAGAAAAACGGATTTTGATAATCCGTTTTTTATTAATTAAGTGAGGTTTTATTTAATTAAGTGATTAACCTTAAATAAATCCGAGTTTGTTTAAAAAACGGATTTTCGCAATCCGTTTTTTCTATTTAATTTTTTTTTTATTAACAAAAACGGATTCTTAGAATCCGTTTTTATGTATTTTTTTTTTTTTAATTTGTTTAAGGCTCGATTATGTTCACGAACTCGTTTATCAGCGATCGCGTTGCGTTTATTTTAA